GCGGTCGACTATTTTAAAAATCATACTGCTCCGGTCCCAGCTTCAAGCCTCCATGGTATACCCGGCTGAATGGCTCTTATTTCAAGCCTCCATGGTAACCCGGACTATTGACTCTTATACACTGAAAACTGTTACCCTGACAATGACTTGAAAATTATAACAGCCTTTCCAGTCAGTCATGTCATGTATTATATCAGTCAAGATAATTCAAGTCATGATATTTACAGTTCAAGATCAGTTAATTCCTTTGTACTTGCGGGACCAGTTGTTACTGGAGTAGCCCTATACAGTACATAGTCATGAGTCAGTATTCAAGAGTTAAAGTCAATATTCATGATGTAAGGTCGACGTATAATAGTTGTTCAGCCGGGTTAAATATGGAGGTCTGTAATACAGACTATTAATCCAATTTTTCCTGGAAACTTGAAGTCGTTCCTTATCAAGTCAAGTAATTCAGTAAATTTCATGTTCCAAATTCCGAGGCGGCCATTTAGTTGTCTCGGGATAGCTTTCAGAGTTCATTTAAAGATGATTCAGCCATATAAAAGTCAAGTCATGATTATTCAGTTATATGAATATTCAGGCTAGTCATGTCAAGATCGAAGATAGTCTGTTTAATAAGACAAAGACTTATCAGTCATTTCAGTATGTTCAATGCCTCGATTCTCAAATACAGACAATTTGAGAACTCGTAGGAAAGGTCAGATCATGATAAACTTTCTTAAGGTTATATTTGACCTCAGGAAAGGTAAACAGTTGCAGGTACAACCTGTCGACATACGACACGGCGGAGAAGACCAAACAACAACAACAGATCATGCCAGGGTGACAACTGAGCTTTCTATTCAAAGGTGCATGATGCCAGAAGAGCAGGATGCCATACCATGTGAGTCACAGTACACTGGAAAATCACAGAGAGTTAGCATTGTAGTACATTGAGGCTACTAGCTGAGATACAGATATGATCAGCCATACAGACTACATCGACATCGCAGGTACAATTTTCGCCAGGTGA